TTTGTGTTCGGATTTTTCTAATTTATTTCCCTCCCCCCTTCCCTAGTTCCCTTCCTTTTCTCTCTTTTTTTCTTTATATGAATAAGTAAATAAATTTAAAAAAAATAAATAAAGCAAACAACTTCCTTTCCCTATTCTCCCTCCAATTATTTGATGATTAAATATAGAAACCTTTTCCTCTCTCCTTCATTTATCTTAACTCAAATATACTATAATTGTATAGGTTAACAATACCTTTTCATTATAAATTTATATAAAAAAAATATAAAAATTAATATTAATTTTAATATTAATGTCAACTAAATGAATTTAATTGCAAACTTGATAAATTAAATGTTAATTTTTATTTTTTAAATAAATTTTATGATTAAAGGTCAATTTTTATTTTAATACAAATTTATGATAAAAGTATATATTTATTATAACCTTAAATTGTATTCTAAGAATAAAAATTAATTTTTTTAATTTATGTCTTTAAAATATAAGTTAATGGTGTAATTAATGAATTTTTTATCATTAAATTATGTTAAAAATGACAAAAATTAATATTAATTTTATCATTTATATCATATAAATTATTTTAATTAATTAATTTAATATATAAAATTAATTTTTTTTAATATCAATTAATGACAAAAAAAAGTCTTAAAATACATGTTAAAAAACTAATAAAAATAATAAGTTAATTTAAAAGAAGCAATTGGTGAGTGTGAAAGGATCTTTAATAAAGGTTTTGTGTCGGGAAAAGGACTGTCCAGTAGCCACTAACATTATTATTATTAGGTTGAGTGATTGTTCGGCAATGAGCCTCCCCTCCCAGGCCCTGGTCCCTAAACCAAACTTACTCTGGGCTCCACTCAATTTCAGCGGTCCACTAGTGCTGGGCTTGACCTCAATGACATGATGGATAAAAGCCTTAAGCCCAAAGACCTTAATTTTCCTTTTGTACTCCGAAAAAATAGAACTTGATGGTCAGATTTAGGAATTAGGAGTATGGTTATATCGATCATTCAATTCGGTACTGTCATCAATTATTATTAAAATTTTAATATACTTTAATTATTAAAAATAATTAATAAAATAATTAATATTTAAATTTAT